TCTCAAGAAATGATCTATTGAGGGGCGCCTGGGTGGCTCAGTCGATGAAGTGGCCAACTCTTGATTGTGATGCACATCATGATCACAGGGTCAGGAGACCGAGCCCCAAGTCAGGCTCCCAGCTCAGCAGGGAGTCTGCTTCTCTCCCTCTCCCTCTGCCTCCACCCCTGCTGAAGCTCTCTCTCCCTTGCTCGCTCTCTCTCAAATAAAAATCTTAAAAAAATAATCTGTTAGAAGCACTACTAATTTTTATTATAATGTTTAGACAAAGTAGATATGATCGTTTTCCTTTTAAAAGAACGGTTTTGAAGTACCAGCCACTTCTTGATGTACTACAGAAGCACTTTAATCATGAACAGAACCCCAGACCTGGGATGATCCCCTTGAGAATGTATGGTCCTCATTAACTTGTTTTATTCACCTTTAGTGCTCCCTGTGCTTCAGGTTTGTAAATGTTAGACCGTCCTGAGTACACAGTCACCAATTTAAGACTAAAAATAAAAACAATTTGAAGCCGGGAAGCTGTCAGAACCATCACGTTGGCTGCAGCGTGAGCTGGGTGTAAGTCACGGAGCTGGTGACAGGAACGCTCACCTGACCTCCATTAGTCACCTCAGGCACTCCCTCGTTTATATGTACTTGGGAGAATTGCAAATGGTTCCATTTTATTTAAATAAATATTGTCTAAGTTGATGCTTTAAAAAAAAAAAGAGAGAGAGAGACCAGTACCAAAGTCACGCCCCTCGTCAATGACATGAGTCCTCAGAACACAACCACAAATCCCCGTAGAGGTTCTCAAAGCCAGCCCAGGCCCCTGGAGCGGACCCAGAGTTGGTTTCCCAGGCCCGGCAGATTCCAGGGCATCCTACCTGCTACTTAAAGACGAAAGACAACGCCACAAATATGTGCAGATCCTACCTCATGTGACTCTCAAGTGACTCATGATCTACTCAGGAAACAGGGGCACATGTCACAGCGCATGTCTAACATAGGCCGATCTAATCACAGAGGACGCGAAGACAATCAAAGATCACAACTGCCCTTAAATACAGCAACTATGTGTCCTTTACAACAGAATTTGAGTAATCTCTACATTTCATCATGCTTGGTTACTTACAGAAACCAAGTGGAAATTTACGCAAACTTTTAAAAACAGGACAAAGCACAACTCCACGACTAAGGATTTCTCTTACTTGCCATCAAATGGCTATCTATGCCACTTATTTTTATTACTGAGCACAATTATTCGCAGGAACTAGAAGTATTCAAGCATAATCCAAGTAAATACTTGGCAATCACAGTGTCCAGGAAATCAGAGCTGTCGAAACAGATGATCTTTAAGGTCCTTATTAGGCCTCAGACCTTTCTATGCCAGTGGCTGCACTGCACAGTCCTAAGAGCCACAAGACCCTTCTGAGGTATCTTCAAGATCCATGTTATAATGACACTAAGACACAATTTGGCTTTTCACTGCTGCATTAATGGTACGAAGCCAGTGCTGGAGGACTGCAGCCGCCTGAGCAACAATCAAGGCAGCGGCACCCGGAGGCAGGAGTCCAGGAGTCCCATTCTTCATCCCCATGAACTCCAGGAAAGGAGCCAAAAGTCAGTTTTACTTACGAATGTCACTGAAAAAGCCGTAAAAATGATTAATTTACTTATATCTCAGCCAATAAGTATACATCTTCAACATTTTGTGTGATGAATGTGTGACAAAATGGAAGGACACAGAAAGCCCTAGGGCCCTGCAATGAAATTCAGAGTCGAGAGCTGAACTAGCTGCTTTTTTTAGGTGACAGCAATTTTACTTAAAAAGACCACTGACAAACTACGGTTATTCAGACTCAGGTGCCTGCAGACATGTTATGGAAAACGAATGTGAAGTTGCCAACAGCCTCCCATGACTTCAGAGGCTTTCCGGCTGGCATCACGGTAGTGATGGTACCAGCAAATGCAATTTCTGACAACCTTTTCGATTACCAACATTTGAAAGAATCTGCCCAACGCAGCAAACAAGTATGTTCCAAATGAGCAATGAATGCTGTCACACCATCAAGCAGACGTAACAATTCATTATAAGACAAACCAATGGATTTTAATGTAACAAAGACAAAAGTTCTTTGATTCAAGTTTCAGGTTCCACAATGTAACGAGCCCTTGAGAAACTACTACCTGTTGAGTATTGGACCAATATCAAAAAATATCTGTAATACTCCTCTCTTTACAAGTTTCCGTGAACCTGATTTGCCTCACACAGTTCACCTAAAACAACCTACCTTCTGAGGATGAATACAGAAACATAATAATCTACCTTCTATTAAGCAGGCATTAAAGATATTTACAGAAATGTAAAACAATGCCATACACCTCAAAACAGCTGCTCTCGACAAAAAATATATTAACATGTAATGAACTTCTTACTGCCATTTTAAAATGTTATATACGTTATAAACGCCCAGCTTTAATTTCTAACACAGTAAATATCTCTCTCTAGAGTACACATATACAAAAACACTTTGGCATCCTTGATAATTCTTTAAAACGTAAAGAGGTTCTGAGACCAGAAAGTTTGAAAACCACTGTTCCGGAGTGTCTAACTATACAACCTTACTGTCTTTTTCCTCCAGAAACTTGACTCCTTCAGATTAAGAATGAGGTACTATGGGGGAGAACTAGATAACTATCAAATCATCCTAAATACCCCAGAAATCCACTAGAAGACTGATGGAACAAACTCCACAACAAAGGGAGAGCAGGGGCCACATCGAAGAGGATTCCTACAGTTGGTACTTCAAGTACTAGGGAATAAAGTGGGGCAAGTGCACTTCCTTGGCCCGTTCCCGGTCTTAGGTGAAAAGCATTCAGTCTCTCATCACTGAGTAGGATATTACTTGTGAGTTTAATATACGTATGGCCTTCGTTATGTTGAAAAAGATCCCCTCATACCCACTCTGTGGACAGTTTTTATCATGAAATCAGATGTCCAATTTTTTCAAATGGTTTTTCTGAACGCTGAAATGATCTTATGATTTTTATCCTTCATTTTGTTAATGTGTTGCATCATGCTGACTGAGAATAATGAACCATTTTTGCATCCCCAGAAATAAAAATCCCTGACACTAATATAACACTGTATGTTAACTCTACTGGAATTAAATAAAAAAATAAAATAAAACCAGAAACAACCCCCCCAAAAAACAATGTACTACAGTAATTTAAATATTTTGTGCATTATAATATAGACAGGTTGCTAAAACTTGCTAGATTCTGGAAGAGAAATACCTTTAATAAAAACACCTAGCATTCTTCAGGTTCCCAAGGATCATAAACTAGAAGACAGATGGCAAACTCCGGAGGGAGAACTTTCTGCCTAGGCAAAAGTTCTGTGTCACTCCGGGCGAGGCTTGTTCTCACTGAGTCCTGCTTCACACATTCTCAGATCACTAGCCAAGTCCACATTTAACCCACTGATCCACCCAGGTGCCCCCCAAGTCCACATTTAAATATGGCGACCCATTTTGAATGGGTGTTCCCACATACCACTTTTTTACCTTGGGTCTCGGTTCCCACATTTGGAGAAGGAAGCTGTTACCTGAATAATCCCTAAGATCTCACAAACTCTATTTTATAGGTGACAGAGAAAAAGTAAAGGTAGAGTTGGAAAATAAGCACTAGATTATAAATAGTCTCTGTTAACTAGTACAGTAGAAGGTTGGAGGGCCGAGTTATTTGACTTTAATGAGTAACTGAAAAGTTAGTGAGCGAGCTAAGTATGCACCAAGATTAAAAATGAGTCTCTAGGGGCGCCTGGGTGGCTCAGTGGGTTAAAGCCTCTGCCTTCAGCTCAGATCATGATCTCAGGGTCCTGGGATCAAGCCCCACATCGGGTTCTCTGCTCAGTGGGGAGCCTGCTTCCTCTTCTCTCTCTCTGCCTGCCTCTCTGCCTACTTGTGATCTCTGTCTGTCAAATAAATAAATAAAAAATAAAATCTTTAAAAAAAAATGAGTCTCTAGAAATCTCCAATGTGCACAGACACAGTGATTTTATATTTCAATTGAGGTTTGTGAAGTATTTTATTCATCATACATTTTCAGTCTCCTTCCCAGACCACTACTGTCAAAGTAACATATTTTTAAAGCACACAGAGTTAAAGTTGTAGAAAATAACTTTGGTGGAGCAACCCTCACATATAACATAGCATGTTTTAGGAGTGTGTAATTACTGAGAGGGGAGAAAGAAGAGTCAGGAATACATAGGGAACTATCCTGAGTTTTCATGAACTCTGAAATGTCTTGTTTTTGCTTTACTTAATGGAACTTGGGTTAGTCTCTCCAATAAAAAGTAATGACACGATGGCAAATGCTACATTAAAGATTAATTTCAAGTCTAGAGTAACAAGCACCATCAACTTTTTCCTTGCCAAAAAATATTATTACTTCCCTCTGAAGTCTGTAATCTATTCAGATCAGTTCTCTATCCGGCTATATTTTATCCACAAATCATAAAGAAAAGAAAACTTAAATAAATCAAGAACTAAAACTTAAATTATGGGAATGAATACATTTTAATTATCACTGCCTCAATGATAATTAATTATAGAATTATAGAAATTATAATCATAGAAAGAATATGTTATTCTTTCAATCGTACTTAAAATTATATTTTAATGGAAGTTGGAATTATCATACAAAAAAGTAAATGCTAACTATCTTAATTGTTTTAATTGCAAGTGCTTACATTGTATTATACAGTGTGTAGTCATTTACTGATTCTGCCAACAGTCCAAGATCTTTGAAAAGTACAGATGTTTACCTGTACGTGAAAGACAAACTCCCCCAGACGCTCTGACTGAAGGTGCACCAGTTATACACATGCAATGAGAAAGTCCTCACTCATGAATGTACTATTATTTTTAAAGGCCCTTAAGTCTATCTCAAACTGGTAATTTTGGGAACAGCTTGTTTAAAAATAAAAACTCATCATTTGTTAACAAGCATACCTCCAAGCGACAGAACGGGTTCACATGAAGGCTGGAAACCACAGACATCAAATCCATGTGTCACTGCTAACGGCCAGATCACAAGGGACAGGAGGGTCCCAGGCTGCTCATCAGCTCCTCTGAGGGAATTCAGTTTCCAATCACATTTCAAGTACCAGAGCCCTCGGGTTCAACCCTCCTACATCAACGTTATCTCCTTCTCTGCTAAGCAGGGAGGAGTGAAGAAATCATGGCAGCCGCGCAGTGGATGTGGAAACACAAGCAGCTATCAGTGTGCGGGAGACACCACACAATGAATTATCTACTTCCCTAATGGGTACCCACATGTCATCAATAATGAAAAGGGGGGTATTAATAGTCCTCTGGGACAAATGAACAACAACGGCCTACAGAAATGTTGGATAGGAACCGAACCGTTGAGAGAGCGCTCTGAACTGGGATTTAAAACCGCTGAGCAGAAACCTCAGACGCATGTACCGACAGCCCCACGGAGAGCATGTGTGTGCTTCCCCTTTACTTGTAGCATGGGAGACTTGGCAAATACAGTCAACTCTGACAGAACAAAGATGACAGATCACTGTCACTATGCAAGCCAATCACAGTTTGTTCTGAGATTATAAACAGCTGCAAGGAAGAAAATTGTTTAAAACGATCCACAAAGGCTAAAAATGCAAATAGTAATGTTAGAATTAAGACTGATAATGAACTTCAGGAAACTTCCAACTTATGAAGGGGGTACTGTTCTAGCCACTTTACATAAACTAGATGGATGAAACTTAAAAATTATTTTCTTCTAATGATTCTCAGGCTACCTCATTAATGCATATAGTTCAAGTCCTAGAAATACTACTCCTCTGCAACTTTGGAACGTTCCACTGTAGGAGTTAAGACATATTAGAAACAGTAACAAAATATAACAATTCACTACGAAGTGTATCATTTGAGGGAAAATCATCTTAATTAGAAGAATTAGAAAAACTAGAACCTCTTTTGGTCTCAATTTAAGAAGGGCATCTATGGGCCTCAGGCCTTCCTGGAGTGATTAAACAAGAACTAGAAAGATTTTAGAATCTGAGTTATCACTGAGTCCTAAATGAGTGAAAGATAGAGACAAAGGAATAGATTCCCCTGAGATGAGAAACAAGAGACGGGAGCTCATAGGAAAACCTATCTCTAAGTGATACTGTTAACCCAGAACAACTTGGTTCCTAAATCCTGTCACTCGGAGGGCAAAGGGGCTGGAGGTGTGCCTGAGAAGGCATGTGGGCCCCAGGATCGGGAGGTACAGCCAGCCAGGAGCTGGCTTACAGGCATCATCTCAGATCAACGACCAATGGGCAGCAGTGCCGCGCAGTGGAAAGAGACGTTTTCCAGCTTGGTCTGTTATTACCTGGGTGACTTTCGTCAACTCACTTAGCTTCTCTAAATGCTTGTTTCCGCACAGGTAAAGGTGAGATGAAACGTGTAATTGAAACACTGCTGGGATCAATGTAATAGGTAGTGTGTTACTGCAGCTGCTTCTATAAAACAAAATTTAAACTGATTTATGATCCACCAGAGCAGGGTAAGTGAAAGTTAAGCACAGCTACAGGTCCTGCTAGACTTGCATTAAATACAGGGTAAGAATCACCGGAGAATACCTGAGTACTTGCGCACACGAAATAATTAGGGCAATGCCCTACTTGTTCTGCCAAAACCCAGCTCCGGTAGCAGCTCCTTCAGAAAGCCTTCCCCGGCCCTGTCCTGGGGCGCCTGCCCCACGCTCTGCGTCCGCACGCGCGGACGGGGGCACCTGTCTCGCACCGGCGGGCAGTCCGTGAGGCCGGGGCTGCACCTACTGGGTTCCACGCTCTCAGCGGACAGTGCGGGGCGCGCAGTGAGTCTGCACAGTTACTGAACGGCGCAGGCGGTGGTTCGGGTGGGCACGGAGGACAGGACAGCGCACGGTTACAGCCAATTGCTCCTCCCTGAAACGAAATCTAACTTTCTCGTAGAAAACGTGATGAATGTAGGCGTGCACACCAACAAGTATTACCCCGTGCGGAAGGAAGCCGGGAGGGGCTCCATGAAAATCCAACCCCCGAGCTCGCAGCCCGTCCGGTCTCGCGGGTCTCACTCCGTGACCACCACCCGGCAAACCTGCGTAAAGCGGCTGCAGAAGCAAGCCCCGGTTTCGGGGTCCGGAGACCCGGGGCAGGCGCACCACTGATGCATTTTGCAAAAAATAAATGCTGACGGAAACCCGCAGCACGATGGGCTTCCGCCGCGCGCGGTGCGCTCGCGCGGCTTCCTCGACGCCCCAAACTTCCCCGCGTGGACCCGCGGGTGCCCGCGCCCCGGCAGCTGGCGATTTTCCGGCGCGCTTCAGCTCCGGGCGGGGGGGCCGGGGGCGGGGGGGGCGGGGAGCGGCGGTCTCGCAGTACGGGTCCCGGCGCGCTGCCGCGAGCGCCGCGGCGCGGATTCGGACAGCGGCTCCAGGTCCGGTCGCCGCACGGCACCCGGGGCCGTCGGTAACGGCGCGCCCGCGGCCACGCTGCGCCTCCGTCCGGGCCCCTCGCCCGGCCCCCGTCCGCGTCGCGCAGCCCTGGGGAGGCCCCGCGGGCCGCCCCCCGCGTCCCTACCCCGGCGGGAGCGCTCCGGGGCCCGGCGGCCGCGCACCGCACTTACTTAGACCCGCTCGCAAGCCGCGCAGTCGGCCGCGGACTCGGAACCCGGCGCCGCGCAGCAGCGTCCCCCTGCGCGGCTTCCGTCGCTCCTCATCGTCCTCCGCCAGCCGAGGGGCCGCCGCCGTCGCCACGGTCTAGCCCGGAGCTTTTGCGGCGCCGCTCTCGGCTCCTCCACTTCCGGCCCACGCTCGGTGTCGCCGGCAAATGTCCCCGCCGGCTCCCACATCACCTGCTCTCCTCTCCGCCTTCCTTCCCTGAGTGGGAACCCGCCCCGCCCTCCCGGGCATGCGCACAAACCGCATTCGGGGGTGTCCCCGCGACGGTGGCCCGCGCGGACAAGATACCTTGGAGCCCGGCCCGCGGCGTGCGGGAGCTCGCTGGGCGCTCCCCGGTGGCTTCTGCGCCCGGGGGCCCCTGGAGGCCCTCCGCCCTCATCCGAGGACCTCAGGGTGAGTGTTGGTAACGCACCAGACTTCCCTTCAGGACACAGTTCTAAGCGTGCACACAAATAAGTATTAATTACATAAGAAAGAGTGTCTGCCTGGTACAGTTACCGGGTATTAGAGTGTGTTCCCCCAAGTACTTAAAAGGAGTGCATAGCTCATGTTGATTCTGTTTCTCGCAGCCCTGCCCTCTCCTGCCTCTATGAGAGGCATGAACCTGGGGAGACTAGAGGGGCTTTCAAAGAAAAAGAATACAAAATTTATCTTATTTTTGCAAATTTTACAAAAGCACAAGAGAAGAACATGCGAGAGTCCAAGTCCTGGGAAGTGGCCGCACAAATGGGCCCTTAAAGCTGGTGTTTCATTAGATTCGCTCTTTTTCTTTTTTTAAGATTTTGTTTATTTTGAGAGAGAGCATAAGTGGGGTGAGGGACAGAGAGAGAGAGAGAGAGAGAGAGAATCTCAAGCAGACTCCCCGCAGAGCATGGAGCCCATCTCAGGGCTCCATCTTACCACCCTGAGATCATGACGCCAGCTGCAACCAAGAGCCAGAGGCTTAACCCACTGAGCCACCCAGGCATCCCTCATTAGCTTCACTATCAGCCCTTCTAGGCACTCAATTGGTTTTCTACAGAATCTGTCCCTCCCCCTCAATCATTCCCCATTCTCCGTGCCCTATTTTATATATACAAAGAATATTTCATATTTAAAAACAACAGACAAACATGTATCCTCCATCAGATGGAGAGCTCCAGGTCAAAGGCTCTGATAATAGCTTCTTGTTATTTGTCACCAATAATGCCAGGCACTAAGGGAGACTACTGACATAAATAAAGTAATAATCACAGCACCTCTAGAAGATACTTAATGAAAAACCCCTGATTATCTTTGAACCAAGCATTAGGAAGGCTAAAATATATGGGTGCCCGGGTGGCTCAGTTGGTTAAGCGACTGCCTTCAGCTCAGGTCATGATCCCAGAGTCCGGTATCAGGCTCCCTGCTCCATGGGGAGTCTGCTCCCTCTGACCTTCTCCCCTCTCACTCTCTCTCTCACTGTCTCTCTCTCAAATAAATAAATAAAACCTTTTAGAAAGGCTAAAATATAATGGTGAATTGGAGACTAAGATTTGAATTAATTTGGAGTTTGGTTTCATAATCCTTGGTTCTTCTCTTGTGTGAAAAATATAAAGTGAAAACTCTGACATTGTAGGAGCTCAGTAGATGCTGAACAAGGTGCAAATGTGCACAGACAAATGCCCTTTCATAAGATGGGCAACCGTGGGGGGTCCTCTACCAACACCGTTGGGTGCTACTCCAAAACAAATTGATAATTAAGTTGAATAATTATAAAGGTTGTTTCCCCATCGTCATGGATAATTTCTCAATTCTCCATGAAAGAAGACAACCCATAACAAAACACTGGTAGAAATCAACAGCTCCTGGAACATAAGGACTGAGTTTGTTTTCTCTCAATCTTGCATGCCTAGCACAGTTACTGTATCCGTGCTGAATAAGGGTTTGCCCAGTACCTTTATTTGGAATCCTCGAAGAGATACTAGAAGAGTCTATAGTTGATTTCTGGGCATGCAAATCTTTATGTCTGTATTAAGAATTATATATTATGGGGGCACCTGGGTGGCTCAGTGGGTTAAAGCCTCTGCCTTCGGTTCGGGTCATGATTCCAGGGTCCTGGGATCGAGCCCCACGTCTGGCTATCTGCTTGGTGGGGAGCCTGCTTCCCCCTCTCTCTCTGCCTGCCTCTCTGCCCACTTGTGATCTCTCTCTCTGTCGAATAAATAAATTTAAAAAAAAGAATTATATATTATGTATTTGTATGAGTTACGTATTATTTCTGTACGAAGAGACAAGAACTCACTCCAAAGTTGTACCATCTTGAGAAACAAATAGGAAAGGACAGCCTTAGGCAATTTTGTAAAAGCTTATTTTTCCATTTAAAGGTAACAGCAGACATTTTGGGAGGGAAGATGCCCTTTTCAAATAAGGGCATTTTCACAACAACCAGTGAGATGAGTGTTGGTACCAATGCTTACAGACAGAGAACAGAACTCTATGAGGCCGAGCAGCGAGAGGACTAGGTTCATAGTCCAAGTAAGGGTCAGTACACAAGGTGCTTCCGGTTGTCGCTCGGAGACGGAACCCACTCTCTGGGTCAGACACTTGCGAAGAGCACCTGCTGCTCTGGGAGTCGACCGGGAGTGCTTGTAGTCACACTGATACCAGGGCTCCTTGGAGACCTCCGCAGCCTTGCAAGGCGCCCGTCCCGAGCGCCACTGCGCCTGCGCACATCATCCCTATGACGTCACGGCCTGGCGCAGTGACGGGGTCCGCTCTCTTCATCTTCATGACGTCAGGGACACCCTCCCACCACCCTGCCTTCAGGAACGATTGCGTTTGCGCCGGGAGCAGCTGGCGGAACAGCCCTCGGCCGGCGGCTTCCGGTTTGGTGACCGCACCTGGGGCTGCGCTTCCGGTCGGACGTGTGCGCGGCGGCGCGGCGGGGCGGGGGCGTCAGAGTCCACGGGGCGAGCCGGCGGCCAAGTGCCGGCGGGCGGACGCCGTCCCTCGTTTTCTCGACCCGCCACATGCCTTTGGTCTTGAAGGTTTGTTTTTCTTGTTTCCGGACAGAAAGTCTTTCAGGCCCGCTCCCCGGCGGGGTCACAGGTGCGGGCCCGGGCCCCTCGGGGACCGCGCGGCGCCGGAGGGCGGCCGTCCCTCCGTGCGGGGTTCCCGGGCCGCGGGCGAGGCTCGGGTTCGCCCGCGTCCGCCTCCCGGGCCGCGCTGGCCCCTGCGACGCCGCGGTCGCGCACGTTCCGACTCCGGGACCTCGTCTCCCCAGGCCCTCGGGGACGCTCGGCTCCGAGAGGTAACGGGACCGTCCCCGCGCCAGCGTCCGCCGGGATCGGGGCGGGTGTCCGCGGGGGCGGGGGCGTGGTGTGGCCTCGGGGGAGCCGGACGGACGTCCGGGGCCCGTTTCTCTTCTTAAGTCCGTCTTTCGTCAGCCTCCGGGCTCCCGCCTCCTGGCCTTTCCCCACCGCGGACCGCTTCCCCGAGCGGCTCGGGGGCGGGTGCTGTGGGAGGCTCCGCTCCCGGGGAGGCCCCGCTCCCGGGGAGGCCCTCTCGCCGTCCGGGGAGGCAGGCGGGTCGCGCGCTCTCCGGGAAGCGGCCGGGCCGTCGCGGGCCCCGAGCCCGGTCCTGCTCCTGGCTCTGCCGTGTGGCCTGAGGACAGCAGGGCCGCGGCTGGCAGACGACGGGTCGTTCCGGTGTGTGTTGTATCAGTGTCGCACGATACTGGTGGGGTCCGTCCTCGTGTCCCGCTGCTCTCCGGTCCGAGCAGAGCGCGCCCCTCGCTTGTGTCCTTAACCCTTTAGGAAGCGTTTTAAACGTTTGCATCCGCCGGCAGTGCGGTACCGGATTAGCCGAGGGTTCGCTGGCCGCCCCGTCCTGTGTTAGCACCTGTGTGGGCGTCTGACGC